TCATAAGACCATAAATGTAGAAACTAAGATTTAGGAAACAATAAGTTAATTTTATAAGTCATGGTCAGTTTTGGAGTTGGATATTTAGCCCAGGCTTGTTCACTGGTTAATGACTTACCAGTTACAAGGCATTAGCCTAACAGCATGCTCCGTCCACAGTCTGCATTCAGCCCCAGCACTCGCTCTTCAAAACACTAAGATGACCTTTGCGCTGCTGAAATTGCAGCTACTAGAACACAGAACACACACCAAGAATACCTGTTCAGTCTAGTCTTCGTGTTTTCTTCATCAGGCAATGGAAACTTTTATTTTTAAATAGATCCAGTTTTAAGCTTCAGAGCTCTAACTTGCAGCCGTCACCTTCGAAATAAACAGCAGGGCAGAGAGCGTACTCAGGATCAAAAATAATGAACTCAAATTAAAATGTTTAACCTCCTAAGACCTGAACTCTTCCACGACATGCATTTTTAATTTCTCTTTGATATTTGGGCTGCTTGGGACCTGATGAATGTAAAAACAACGAATTACCAGATTATTATTTTTTTTACCTAATTTTTGTTTCTAAGAAAAATGAGAGCCACATACGAGGATATTCGTTTAAAATTTCGATAGAACAGTAGCAGTATAATGTCCTCGTAAGTGGATATCAGGCCCTTGTAGAGCAAAATTGAGTATTTTGGTCTAAATAACCCAAAATGTGATGTCCACATATGTGGACGCCAGGTCCTAGGAGGTTAATCTACCTCTCTGTGCACTAAATTTCAAACCTAACAATTTTCTGCAGCATTAAGCTCATTGTTTTTGCAAGTCTTGTATTTTACTGTATTTTTCATGTTCTTTTACATTTTATCACTATTTTTCCCCCATCATCATCATCTGACCACATCTCTTTTTAGAATAGGCGGCGCTCACAGGGATCATTTTGTGCACCGTCACGACACATTGAATGCACCTTTTTGTTTAAGTTTGCACAGAGCCCGAGGCAGAAAACGCACCTTAACCTAGACAGCTGATAGCCATCATTGTGATACCCGATCTCTTCCACTGCGGTTTTTAGCTAATGCAAAGCATTGTGTTGAACTTTTGTAGTATATCTTTCTGGACGTCACTAACCAGTGGGTGATGTCATGATTTACATACAGCCTGCTGTATGTATCTGTATCCATAATTTTGTATACGTACTACAGAACATCTTTCTATATAATGAATGGTATATTCTTAATAAAATTATGAAAGTGCGTATTTGATTGCCTATATGACCCAGATGGTCTATGTGAGCATGTGAAGTATATGGAACAGCATCACAAACACTGTATCTTCAAACTATGGCTTTAATTTACAAATATGACAAAAAAGGAACCAATACAAATTAAACACACAAAATTAAATGTCTGACTCTTCAGAAGGAGAGCATAGTACTGTGTCGCACTGTGTAAATGCAGTTTTATTTAACTATCTAACTTATGATCATGTGATCAAACACATGACTTTGCTGATGAAAGACACTCAAGACAGTCCATCAGACCACTCTGCAACCCAAAGTTATCCATGTAAACCGTCCCTCCAGTGCAGAGAATTATCTAAAGGAGGTGGAGGGGTTAAAAGTAACAAAAGCACTGAGAACCTGCTGCAAGGTACTCTTGCAGTTGTGAATCTATTTCTTCAAATGCTTCATACAGACTTCTCTTTCAGTCACAACAAAAAACAAGCACAACCAGGCATCCTACTTGAACCTGAGCACAGGCCCCAGCATGTAGTCAAGTCACTCCTCTTCTTCCTCTTCCTCCTCACTCTCTGAATCCTCTTCAAATGCTTCCTTGCTTTCTGTTAGGGAACAGCTTAGAATTGCTTTGCGAACCTGCCGTTTTTCTTCTGCAAATGAAACGAGGAGAACTCCGTCAAATTGCATTTTTTTTTTGTTCATTTTGTGTTTGTTGTCCCAAGATCAAATGTTTGTTGTCTTCAGTGAACTACAAGATCTACAACTGAAGAGCTTGATCACATCCTATATGATTTAAGACGAAAGTTAAAATGTAGAACATTACAACTTTATGAGGATATTAGTGTAGTGTTAAGAAACACACTGACCAAAACTGCAAAATTTAGTGTTCAAATCAATTCTTTACCTTCGCTTTTACATTTAGGCAGCATTCGATGGAGCTGCTGGGTGTTGTATCGGATCAGAAACTTCTGACATGTTCTAATTGTCCCTGAAACAAACAAAAAACTCACCTTAAATTATATGTAGTTAAAATGTATGGTTCTGTGCAAAAGTCTTGAGCAACCCCTAATTTCTTTCTATTTTCCTTCCAAGGAGCCAGACCTCCTTATAATTATATAAAATCGTCGTGAGCAATAATTTTCCAGGCTTTCTGAAGGTCTTTCAAAGTTTTTTGTTGTTGGCTTTTCTTGGTTGCTTTTTCACTTATTGTGAATTCAGTCTTTCTACCTGACCATTTTCAGAGCAATGCTTATTTGTTTCTTAACCCCGACTGATGATTCATTCAAGTATTTAAAAAAAAAGCACTTGTGGTGGGGCGTTGTCTGCGGGGCCGTGCGGATGCACCTGCATGGTATCCGTAATCATGCCCGCCGAGTTTAAAACATGGGGAACTGGGGTTTGTTGTGAGTTTTTGTGGTGTGATGCATGTATGGCTGACAGCCGAGAGCTGCAGCTGGAATGAATAAAATGGCTCAAAACTGTGATCTCTGGACCCGCCGTGTCTCATTCACACCACAGCACTTAACTCAAGGTATTCACCAGTGGCGTACACATAAATGTTAACTTAGCAAAGAACCAGTTTTAAACTGTACATAATTTGCTTCCACTTCTTCTGTTTAATCTATGAAAAAATACCAACGATAACAATGTGACGGGTGGGAAATAGTATTTTTTCCACTAAGAGGACGATTCCTAAAGAGTTGTAAGATGGAAACTAGGTGTATCTCAGCATGGTCTGCAGTCCATTGTTAAAAAACTGAGAGAACTGGGTGACAAAAAAAGGAAGTGGCACACCTAAAAGACTATCTACAGCAGATTAACTATCTGCTGTATATGAAAGTCATGTCCTTAAGAAATAGTAAAAAAAAAAATCCAGCAAAGACCTCACACAGAATCTGAAAGATGCATCTGAACCTTCAGCTGATGCACCTACTGTTCACTGCCTCATTAGAAATGATTTAAGTGGAAGAGTGGCTGTCAAGAAGCAGTTCTTAATGAAGGGAAACAACCAGAAGTCTGTCAACTTACACACGAACTGAAAGTCAGTGGCAACAGGTCTTATGAGTGATGAATCAAACGTAGATTTTTTTCCCCCCAAACTGTCTCCAATAAGTACAGAGGAGGTTAGGAGAGGGGTACAACAGTGAGTGTCTACAGCCATCTGTAAAACATGATGGAGTCTATCTTGGTTTGTGGTGTGAGGGATCTTCTGAACACAGGAGATTAAGCATTAGATTTTGATAAACCATGCAATACCATCTGGAAAGTGTCTTCCTCGTGATCAACGATCTCAAACACATTGCCGGTGCAGTAAAAGCATACCTGGATTAAAACAAAACAAAAAAAAAAAAAAAACAAGTCATGGACTGACCTCCAGTCAACATCATTGAAGCAGTGTGGGATCACCTTGACAAAGAAAGGAAAAATAGGCAGCCAACAACCAAAGAACAGCTTTGGATGTGCATGAAGAAGCCTGGAGAACTATTCCTGAAGACTACTTAATGAAATGACAGATAGTTCAGACTGTGTTGAACAATAAAGGTGGTCAAACCCTGTATTGATTTTCAAACTCATTTGAATTGTACAAACTCTGTTTTTGCCCTATATGCAGTATTTAAATTTATGATTGCACACTTTTCAATAAATCAGTGTAACTATTTCAGATTTTTTGAAGAAACAATGAGTGGCTCAACACCTTTGCACAGTACTGTATGTATTTTTCATTCTGGAATATTAGTTTACAGTTTTTTCTTACCTCCTACATGCAAACAGTTTAGAAAGCAGGGAATTTTTTGCCCACGAGTTTCAATACTGGTAATGAAAGGCAATGCAGACCACAGGAGTTTGTAACACCTTTTGGGAAAACGTAGAAATACTATTCCAGTGTGAGCGTTCAGATATTTAACTAAAAGGGGGGAAAAGACAAAAAAATTAAAAGTCAAACGACATTCCAGCAACATTAGCACGATGTCAAGAAGAATGTCGTCACCCCAGAAGCCAAAGGGCTGGGACTATTATTATTTCGTTTAACTTTGCTTGACCAGCTTCCACAGGCAAACATTACGAACAGCTAAATACATTTTAAAATTTACTTTAGTGCTGATGCTTATTTGAACAACTTTCACTGGTATTTTCAAGTGTTGTCGCTTGATCCTTGGAAAGTATCTAAAACTTCTTACCACAAAATCTAATGCTACACATAGCGGCCCCATAGTCCCCATGTGTGCGGGCTACCGCTGCCTTCACTGCCACCATAATTGCTCGGTCGTCGAGCAGCAACAGCTGGCTCCTGTCCGACACGTTGACTTCGCATAGTAAATACCTGCGGTAGAATATGTAGCGTCAGAAACTAGGAGCACACACGCTAGAGGAAACAGTATACGAATGGCACGTTTTACCTCGTCTTCAGCCGCACCATCGCTGCTTTACTCTACTTCCGTCGGAACTTCCGTCAACAAAACTCGGACAAGCGCACTAGCGCCACACGCTGGAAAGATGTAATGTATATTCGACACTTACATGGGCCCAACAATACATCCGAACAAAAAAAATTAAAGGGTAATATATTTCAAAAGCGAAAGAACTGGTAGATAGGTGGCTTTCAGAAAAGATAAAACGGTCGTCAAATCAGATCACTCCAGTGTGTTAAAAGCTAAACAACGCAAGCAGCTCATAAGGAAACGGAAAGGCCCGGAAATTAAACCATTCACACCCCTGGGGTAACTATGGCAACCTCCATCGATCTTAGCCAATCACAACCTCGCGTTACCATCTCCCTAACACGTTTCACGCCATCTTGAGATTACCTCCTAGTTTGTTAAATCGCTCCCAAATTCATAGGCTCCGCTCCTCATTTCATTGTTGCCGCGCTGTCCGAAATGAACGGTTCCCGAAACAAACCTTTACAAACAGTCAGCAAGGGCCCGAAGGACGCAGACACCGGCACGGAGAGCAACCACAGGGACAGAAAGAGTGGCGGAGGAATGCTGAAGAAGCTGAAGTCGAGGCGCAGCCAAACGGAGAAGTGGCCTGTGGTCACAGAGGATGAACTCCGGGCTCTAGGAAGAGATATCACCCCGGACCATGTCCTCGGGCTCCGGGCTGTTACGGAAGGTAATGTTATGGCAACGTAAAGTTGCGCATTGCTGAAAGCGGCGAAATTTGATCGCCTAACTAGCTACGCACTATGCTAATTGTGGCTAACGTTAAGAAAAGAAGTTTGAGAGCAGTCGACCAAAGGGTACGTTTTCTAAATGTGTTCATAAGGTAAATACTACATGTGTTACTTTGGTGATTCTGCGAGCACGGGTTCATTGGGGGTTTTGGGGGTTTTGCAAGGGTGCAAGTAGGACTTTGAAGCCCCAAAGCGAGCATTGTTTAGGGCACCCCACGCTGGCTTGGGGAGGTCAAACAGCTAAAAGCCTATTATTATCTTAACAACTTGTTTTAGTAAGTGTGTTTGGCAGATACGTGTACTGTTGTGTTTCTTCTCATTTCTTCCCAATTGGAGGTGTAGTGACTAAACTTTTAGGTTTAGAATCTTCTACTCACCCACGTTTATTAAGTAAGTTATTATAAAGCACACAGTTTCGGTTCTGACACGGCTGTTAATGAGTTAATGATCAGTTGAACCTTTGTTTTGATTTTAGTTTATTATGTGTAAAGTATACACAAGTGGATGATTTCATATTAAGAAAACAAAAACAAAGTGGGAAGTGTAATTACAACACTTTGGCTTTATGTACAGTATGTAAAAACGATATGAAATAATCTTAAATTCTACATATAATGTAGATACTGTACCTGAACAGCAGTAGGTAGAAGTTTACGTTTCTCGGGCTGTACTCCTTTTTCACAAAAAGGAGAATCTTACTGAATACATTCAGCTTGGGTTTCCTGCCTTGATTTTTAAAAAAGAAAATTAAGACAAGGCTTCATTAGAACATAAGGAGACAACTCGATCTCTGGGAGGAGCATTTCCTATATTTATGCAGTTTGTTGTTTTGAACAAACTTGTGTAATTATGTATTGATGTGCTTTTTTTTTTGTTCGTCTGTGCAGTTGTTCCACACACTGTAATGCTGTGATATTTTACATTAGTCCTTACTACCGGCTTCCTAAACATAAGGATTCCTCTCCCAGGTCATGTCTTATTTGGAACAAATTCTGAATGTTATGGTGCCTGTTGTGTGTTCATCAATATAAAGGACCAACTTCCCACACAGTTATTTAATGAGTAATTCATTTGGATTGCTGGCTTCTTTCATTTTCTCCCCTAACCGTCATCACCTTCACCCATGTAGTAACCTGCTTGAACCCTATCCCATGGTTTGTCATCGGACACCCAGTTGACTACAGCTGCAGCTAGTGACTAATGTTGTTTTTTAGCTTTTTTCTCACCCAGACAACAATGACATTACTTCTGCTCTATCTCACTGCCATTGTTTGAACACTGGAACCTTTTTCTATAGCATTAGTCACCATTACTGAAGTTTGCAGGAGCCAGAAAAACAGATACTGAAAGCCTGACTGCTCCTTAAGTGCTGTCTCAGTTCTCTAAGTAAAGGTCAGTCTTTGTGCTCCAAACAGTTGTGTGACTTTCACAAAGTTGTTATATTGAGGTTTTTCAGTTGCGCAACCACATGTCGTTAACGTGTTCACTATTTTGGATGTGTGACAATCATGGTGACAATGCAGACTCCAGTCATGATGTGAAAAAATGGTATTCCCTGATCTGTTGCTGGAGGTTGGTGGTAGTATCTGATTAAGTAATTACTAAAGCCCCAGTCACACATACCAAGAGACTGATCATTGAGGCCTTGCAAGCAACGGTCGGGTTCTCTCTGAGCTGTAGTAAAACTGAAAAAAGTCCAATCCAAATTGCCTCCAGAGCCACATGCTTTTACTTTGAAATCCAATCGTCTCCATTTCCATTTGCGTCATACTTTTACTACTGCTTTGCTAGTAGTTTGCAAGTGTTTGCAGACAAATTTGAAAAACGTCAGGCAGCTATGACAGTCTGCTAGAAACCAAAGCAATCACTAGGAGGTTTTTGGTGCAGCACCTTCTTTGCATCCAATTTAGCAAACATAGCTTGTAATCACATCCAATGAGGCAGATAAATCTCTTAAAATGTGAACATGACATCAAATGAGAAACCTCAATACAGAAGAATTTAAATAAGGGGACCTCTATTTTCTAGTAGTTGTTTGCTAGTTGACGTCTAAGCTCACAAACGGTGATAACACTAATCTTAATTCTAGGCAATGAGAATGTGATTTTTTTTTTCTCATTAAATTTTTCACCAAATCTTGTCAATCAGCAATGAAATTAAATAACCATTCAAACTGTCACACATCAAAAACTATTTACATTTTTTTTCTCCAAAAGTCTGTTTACCCCACTCTGGAACAAGGCAAAAGTTAACATCAGTGTTACTAAACACGATCACTTTGACTGCAGAGGGTTAAACTCCCTCACGTTTACTGCATAAGTTGATTGTCTTGGCTTAACTTGCTTTTTTTCCTTCCACATTCCAGACTATCTTTGCAGACCTGAAGATAATATCTACAACATTGACTTCACACGTTTCAAAATCAGAGATCTTGAGACAGGAACAGTGCTCTTTGAAATCGCCAAACCTCCTAACAGCGGTAAGTGATACACTCAAAATTTGCCTGCATGTTACCAAGCTTAAAATTGTTTAAAAATATAGAACACACCTGAATGAATAACAGAAATGATCATACATCCATGCAAACATGTTAAAGCTGTTTAGTTATCATGCATTTAAAAAGATGAATTGTCACCAAGCACGAGAGCTGCAGCCCAGCTGTGTATTGGTATCCTTACTTTTATCTCAAATGTAAATCTATCAAAACACATGAAGTCTAAAAAGAAGGACCCACGATTAAGCACTATTGCTTCCCCTTTTCACTAGTAACGCATCCTCTGCATGTATTTAGATTTTTGTTTGTTTCTTTAAATGCCGATTTGATTTGACGCCACCATCTCAAACTGTGCTCATTCAGTTGTATCAGAGCCTTTTGATGGATGATCATAACTTGAAAAGAGACACCCTATGTATATTTCAAGCACTACAGTAAAGCATGTATGCCAGTCAGCTGAATTAGTCTTCTGTGTCAGGACCCGTGGAGAGTGAAGAGGAGGGTGGCGATCCAGACACCAGTGCGGGGCGTTTTGTCAGATACCAGTTTACACCAGCCTTCCTAAAACTCCGCACGGTTGGTGCGACGTGAGTAAATGGACTACAACAGTGTGACTGCATCACGATCAGCCTCGGGTGTCTATTTAGTTTCTTAATTTGTCTCTTTTCCCCTCTCTGCAGAGTGGAGTTCACAGTGGGTGACCGCCCCATTAACAGCTTCCGTATGATTGAGCGGCATTACTTTCAGGGACGCCTTCTGAAGAATTTCGACTTTGACTTCGGTTTTTGCATTCCTAACAGCTGCAACACATGTGAACACATTTACGAGTTCCCGCAGCTTCCTGACGACCTCAGTAAGTTCTGCTCCTTTTTGTTCATATTACCAGATCTGTATATCTTTATTTCTTAATTGATGGTGTGCTCTTCTCCTTTTCTAGTTCGTCAAATGGTGGCACACCCTTATGAGACCAGATCAGACAGTTTCTACTTTGTGGATAATAAACTCATCATGCACAACAAAGCAGACTATGCCTACAATGGTGGTCTGTAATACCTGAAGGGGGGGCGTGTTTAAAAAGGATGCAGTAGCTCCCAGGAGACCGATTTTCTGGATTGTGCCCCTCAATAAATGGGGCAGAGACAGAAGTATTCACTCTTTATCGGAATAAAGCACCATAGTTTAAAAAAAGGAACAGAAGCAGGAAAAAACCCAACCATATCTGCCTTCATATGAAATCATGGATCAATTCATCAGTACCGAACAGAGCTCAGTTTCTGGGAGTCCGAGAGAATGTTTAATTCAGTATTTCGCTGTTATATCTGACTGAAACCTTTCTGTTCTCCTTTTGAATTGTCATACATGTGTAATGTAACTGCTTGAACACTTTTGCCTTAATTTCCTGCTGTCTCTGCTGGAAAGGGACAGTTTTGAGTAACACATCTATAGTGGTAACGTCTGTAGACTACGTTAGTTTTTCATTTAATTACTGATGTAATAAGTTTGTTTATTTTTGAGCTGAACTACCTTTTGCAAGTGACAATTGTGTTTCCTTTATGGAAAAACAAGCATTATGTAGGTGTTTCGGTCTTGTTTTATCAATAGATGTAGCATTAGTATTTGTTTGATTCTTCCTCAGATGTGAGTTGAGAGCAGTTGCTACTGTTTGTCAGATATTTAAGCTTGGTGTCCGTTTTATGAAGTACAAGATGACCAGTTTCTTCTTTGGTAGAATATCCCTTAATTCGAAAATGGTCTTCTCCCTTTTCCTGTTTTGTTTTTGTTTGTTTGTTGTTGTTTTTTTAAATAATTCCAGGTGTGATGTTCATTCTGCTACAATCGGTTAGATTGTTATAACAAAAGTTTTCCCATGTCTTTGTTCTATGAAAACTGTGGGATAGATCTAGTTACTAGACTTTAAATGTTTTTCTTTTATGTGCCGTCCATGTTTAGAAGTGTTTTTCTGCCTTCTTTGTACAATTGCATAGTTCTTTCATCCTTTGTTTATTTGTCACAGCAGTGCTGTGAATCCCACTCTTTAGCAGCGTTTGGCCAAACATGTGGTATACCTATTGAACTGTTAGTACGCTCTTCTCCTTTGAGATTGCCTTCTCAGTTTACTAATGAAATACCACAGTAGCACACAACTTGACAGTACAGAGGGAGGTAACTTGGTAGTTGGATCTATTTTTAATGAGGCACTGGGGTAGATGCAGTCATTGACCTGTTTGACCGATGATACTGGTGACTGTGCAAATTTTAACCCATCTGTATACGAATGTCTTTTTCAAATTTTACACCAGTTTTCCAGTGTGCACAATTTCATGTGATGCCAGTCCTGCTAGAAGGAATACCTTACTTACTGTGATGCTCTGAATTGCATTATGCTGAAAAGTTGTCTGTAATTTATTCAAAACGGCAGCAGTTAAGAGTTTGAAATTGGGCTCCACTTGCAGAGTGATTTCCAGGTGAAACGTGGATTTCTCTTCATAGTTGGGTTTTGTTTGAATTTATGTTACTGAAATGAAAACCTGCAAGGCAGGAGATAGTAATGAAACCTTGCAAATGGTTGTTTAAAGTGTATTTGTTAATTTGCATTTCAGTCATGCATACACACATCAGGACTTCTTCCTACTGTACTGTTATTGACTCTATGTGCCTTGAATCCAGTTTTTTTTTTTTTTTCACCTTTAATGTGCAGAAGTCTCCTTTTCTTGTCCACTCGTGGCAGAAAGCTGAAGGGATGTAAAATTGCCTCCTGATGTTCTTTTTCTGTATTCTTGTAGCATTACCTTCTATAAAACAGGATGATTACAGTGAGGAAGAGTCAGTGACAACATATTATGCAGTCCGTTAATACCCACAACAAATGGGATATCACATTAGGCACCCTTTTGTCAACTGTGCCCTTCTCTTTTTTTCCTATGTTGGACTCTGTCACCTGCTGCATGGTCACCAGTTTTTATATTGGCTAATTTTGCTAATGTTCATCTTATCCAATTTGTTGTAAATAAATAAAAAAATGGGTGAATGAATGAGATGGAAAGTACTTTATTTACCCTATGTTTTGGAAATTCTTTAAAATTAATATTTTATTAATATCTGACAGATGTCTCTGTGCCAGGCAGATGTATTGTGTTACAAGAGATCATAACATGTGGTGGGAAAGTTTAACTGTTTCTGTCCTCTTGGCAGTAGAGCTGAATCAGTCTGTTAGAGAAAGTGCCCGTGCTCCAGTAGGGCAGATGCTAAGCCCATCACCATCTCTCTGGTTTTATTCACATTCAGGAGACAGTTCCTTCCAGATCACTCTATGAAATCATCAAGTAGTGCTCTGTACTACTCCCCCCCCCTGCTGCCATCACTACTAGAGCTAAACACTGCACAGTCTTTGTAGGTGGCATCACAGGGTTGTACTGAAAGTCTGAAATATGAGCAATGACAAAGTCCTCTGTGGAGCTCCTATACTGCACATCACCAAATCAGACACAGCACTGCCCAGTCTCACATATCGCAACCTCTCTTGTCAGATTGTCACTAATCCATGCTAGATTACTGATGGTGGATATGCTTACTGACATTTCCTGGAGCTTCTCTTTCTGAGTCGTGTTAATTGCACTTGAGAAATTAAAGGAGCAGCTTTGTCTAAATTGCAGTAAACTCTGTATCATGTTGTCGATTTATCCACTACATGATACATGATTAAGTTCTATGCAACCTGCAGGGTAAAGTGATGTTTTCACATTTGTTCTGAGGTGTGCCAAGACTAGTCTCTCTCTTAGTCTCAATATAAATGAGTTATAAGGGATGTTGTTTTTCCACCTTAAAACTTGAATATCACATTGTAAGTTTGCTGAACAAAATGCATACAAGGTGATGTGCTTGTGAGACCTGTCCAAGTTAGAGTGACCATGTGTCCTACTTAATGTGGGTCTGCACAGAATTCCCAAATATTGAGACAAAAATAAACACACCTCATAAAACCCCAAACATGCCATGACCCACTGAATAGTTTTGATAGTGACTCTAGGAAAAAGGAAGAAAACAGGACCCAGAAATGTAACTCTGATTTCCATTTGAAAAGTAATTTGAAAATAATATTTAACCTTGATTTACCACCGTTTCTTAAAACGGAATGAAAGTAGTGATGAGTCTGAGAACGCTTTGGGGTTTTTTCTCACCTGGGTAACAAAATACATTACCCAGAATCCTCTGCTGAAAACACAACACTAGTAGCTGCACATGTGTTTCATCATGGCGGCCCCCGTTAAAAAGATGGTTGGGGTTTCGGACGACTCCAGCAGCAGTGACGACGAAGTACTTAAAAGATGTCAGGAGGCGGTTTGGGAGACGAAGGCTGTCAAAAGCAAAGGTTAGTGTTTGCCTCCTCTGTTTAAACCGAGGGGCCAAGCTAGCATACGTGCACCGCTAGCCGTTCCCAACAGGTACCCCGGAGAAGTTTCCACAATATTTATAGTCCATGCATAAAGAGCTGTCGGTCAGTAACATTTTCTAATGAAATTTATTTAATTGGTTACAAATAAACATTACGGTAAGACTCTAAGAGCATAGCGCAGCTTTAGCTAGCCCCTGAGCTTGCTAAATCAACACAGTGCGCGGGTTTAATCAGCTGCAGCGTAGCTCTGTTAAAGACACTAACTCTCTGTGTTTTAAGATGCGGATGCCAGTGTGAAAGAGTCAAAGCGGTAAGTGTTACCTTTTAAAATATCCATTTGCTTCTTTTAGTGTTAAATATCCGTCCAAGTGTGCAAACTGCTTCAATGTTCCAACAGAATACATTGTTGTTCCTTTCACTATTGCACAGGAGGGAAAATGTATGAAAGGTTTAGAGTATTTCCAGATTTGGTTGTTTGACCCACAAAGATGTAACACGCTGTTGTTGTTTCACGCACAAAAGCTCTGTATGTGAACTTTGTGTCTTTCCAATGTGAGCAGTAAATTGTAATGATATTAGATTCAATTAATGTGAAAAAAAAAAAAAAACCCAGATGTACTTAAAATTAGTTTTTGTAAGCTATGACTATCCATCTGTTCTGCAAATTAATCTCGCATTGCGTAATAATAATTTGTTGGTTCAAGTTAATGTTTTTAACTCGAACCAACCCTGATTTCTTTATATTTTGCTTAGAATTGTTTAAAGTAGTCTTGAGCAATAGTTCTTCGGGCTTTTCAGAAGGTCTTTCAGTGTTTCTTTGGACATCGGTTACTTTTTCACTCACTTTCAGTTCAGTCATTGTGCCTGATCATTTTCAAAGGAATGTTGTCTTTCCTTGTTTGTTTGTTGAGCCACTTAACACTGATTAACACAACATTGTGTCTTTAGGCACTTTAATAGCAGCCTGTCACAAAAACACATTACTTGTTACCATTTCTTTAGTTGAAACTATGAAAAATCCCCAAGAAAACACAGTTTGGCAGCCACAAAATAATATTTTTACGCCAACAAAGTGATTACTAAAAAGTTATTGGCCAAAAACTTGGCATGGTTCATAGCGTGTCTTTAAAAAATACGAGTAGATGAAACAAATGGAGAACTAAAAATATCTACAACAGATGAACAGTATCTGAAAGTTATGCCCTTAAAAACAGGAAAACGTTTAGCAAAGACCTGACCTGAGTGATGCCCCTCTGTTGATCCATCTGTTGTTCATGAAGCCTTATAACAAATGGTCTCAGTGGAAGTGTGGCTATCAAGAACCCATGCTAAATTACACAAGAACTGGACTGAAAATCGTTGGCAACAGATCTGATGGAGGGAAGAATCCAAATTTGAATTTTATTGTTCAAATAATTGTTAATATGTACGGAGGAGGTCAGGAGAGAGGTACAGCAGTGAGTGTCTATACAGAGGATTTGGGGGTTTTGGGCAGTGGTGTTGGGGATCTTGTCAAAATTGGCAATGAAGTAAAACTTACATAATTAAGAAAACACACAATGGGATACTATCAGTCGTAGATTGAGGCCAGACCATAACATTAGTGAAAGAGTGTGAGAGAATCTTGCAGAAACATCCAAAAAGCTTTAAATGTCCTCCAAGAAGCCTGGAGAAATATTCCTGCAGATTACTGAAAGAAAGGGCAGAAAAATCTGCCTGAGAGTTCAGAGTCAGAGGCTCGAGACTTTTGCAAAAGGCTGTAGATCCTTTATCTCAGTAGGCAAGTACAGAGGTATCTGTTTTTTGTTTTGTTTTTTTATATGAATGTCAGAAATAAAATAAGCTTCATAAAGTTTTTTTGTATAACAGTCTCGTTGTCGCTGACCATGAACATGATGGCAACGAGCTCCAGGTCACGCCAGGATTCCAGACGCATGTTGCCAGAAAGTTAGGACACTTTCTTGACAGGTAACGACTCTGGCTACAAAAAAACAAAAAAAAACCCTTTTGTTTATAATAATTGATAATTGATAATATTATTAACCATTATATTTGCCTGTCAGTTGTATTTCAGAGATAAAGCCTCAAACTTCATCCTGTTTAGAACCAGCTAAATGTAACAAAGATGATGAGGAGGAGGAGGAAGGTAAAGTTTCTGGCTCTTTAAGAAGATTTTGTTTCTATGGGAACTTATGTTCATCTCTTTAAACCTGACAGTTTTCTTCTTCTAGGATTTCGTCTGTTTTCTACATCAGTCCCAGGAAAGAAAGCTGAAGATCCTCCCGCCCCCGTAAGGCGTCGGCCTGCTCCCAGCTCAAGGTTCTTCATCTCTATTAATGTTTTCTTCCTTGTGTTATTGATTCATTTTTATTTCCCTCCGTATGACATTCTTTCTCTCTCTGCCCTTCAGCGACAGCGATGATGAGATGGAAATGAGGCTGAAAGAGGCAGCGGTGTCTGTCAAAGATCTGTTACCCTCGTTGGTGCTCTCACCCCCTTCGATGGAGTCTCCTTGCTCGGTAAAAATGACAAAGACGAAGAAGAAAGATACAGAGGGAGAAGAGAGCCGCGTTAAGAAGAAGAAGAAGAAGAAGAATCAGGAGGATGGGGAACAGGTGGACTCAGATTCTACTCCTGATGCTCAGAGTAATGGTGAGCTCACAAACTCAGAACAGGAACACATGCAAGTCAAAGTAAAACGGAAAAAGAAGAAGAAGAGGCAAGAAGAAAACGCAGAGGAAGAAGCATTGCACTGATTTTTAATTATTTTTTAAATGACTTTCTGCCACGGTGAATTCAAAGATTTAAAATATTTTTATTCAAAAGCTGGGATTGGTCTTTACTTTGTCATTAATGATGTTAAAACAAAAAAGTGAAAATATTTCAAGGTGAGTTAAAAAAATGCAGGTAACATGCTGATGACAAGTTTCAGATCAGTTTACATTTTGTTTAAATTCTAAAACATTTACAAATATTTGAATAAAAAAATACACGTCAGTGTTAATCTTCCGTTGATTTTCTGTGTCGAGTGAATTTCCTGTGTCCTCGTTTCAGTGACAGTTTGACGTTTGAGTCAAACAGTGTCATCGCTCAGGTGCAACTCTGGGTTTTCAGTGTTACGAAGGCGACCTGCTTCTTACTTTGGTACATCTTCATGGTAACCTACACTGCAGACCTTACCTGCTCGTGTTTCTGTTTCTGTAGTTTTATCTTCTTTTGTAAAATTAGTTGCACTGCTTGTCCACGTTTCTGATTGGTCAGATCTAGATTGGAAAGACCCTGGTTTGACGCATCAAGTTCATAACAGCTTTCGGGTGACTACTTATTCTGAATGCTGATCTTGGGGTGGATGAAGCCAGTATTTTGGGTATTTTGAACTTGCTTTGTAGTACTGGCCCCAAGCTTACATGGCATACGTCCCGATTCACTCCTGAATCCAGCTGACAGTCAGGAGACTCTTTTACTGTGCTGTGGAAACCATTTGTGCAGGGATGTAGGAGCTGATTTCTGTCGGAGACGGTGAGAGGAGGTGAGATTGATGGCTTTCTGTCGCCTGAGAGGAAGGATACAGCTCGAGGCTCTCGGATGAAACTGTTAATTTAAAAAAGAAAAGAGGCTTCAGATTGTTTGAAAACAGTGTTTGTGTTGGGACATTTATGAGGATCAGGCTACAAAGACATCTGAGAGTCTATTATCTTTGGGTTCTTTTCTGTGAAGGTGTAGAAGGTAAAAAAAAGAGTTGCTGATATCAGTCAATTGATGTACACATGATAAGAAGTAAATAATGAAACATCTCTGATGGACTAGCTAACCACCCTGTTGGCTTATGCGCCGTAGCCAGCCTTGCTCTATGCACCATGTTAATGGGTAAATGTCAGCTTTTGGCTTTGTGCAGTGTTTGAACCAGTCGTCTGCTTTCATGGTCTCCTCTCAGCTGCTCCTTTTAGGGGTTTCTACAGCAGATCATATGCCTCCATCTCACCTCTAGCACCCTCCTCTGTCACACCAACCCTCTGCACGTCCTCCTTCGCTACATCCATGAACCTTCTTTGTGCTCTTTGTCTTTTCCTCCTCCCTGGCAGCTCCATCTTCAACATCTAATCAGCGTCTAATCTTGTCCATCCTGCTCACTCCCAATGAAAATCTTAACACCAGCTCGGCCTCCTGTTATTTTGTCAAAACCATCTTCTCCAAAGCATTAGCATCATCCCTTCGATTTCCAGCTTCAAACTCGTGAGCCTGTCTGACACTCTTCACATAATCTTCCTTCAGGATCACCCCTAATCCATTTTTCTTCCTGTCTACAGCACGGTAGAACATCTTGAATCCACCTCCAATACTCATGGCCTTGGTTTGCTTCCACCTGAGGCCTGTACTATGAAGCCAGATTTTGGCATATCCAGATAACTTCAGGGTTAACTCTGGGTGTTCTGTACTGCATGTGGTTCACTTTTTGCCATGGTAACTTATGCTTATATCCTTACTCTCATTCCCCATTATTGTATCTGTAACACGCAACTTCTGTCGCTGCTGTGCTACTGGAAACTGAATTTCCTGAAGTAACCCACCCAAGGGATTAATAAAGTTTCATCTAATCTAATCTTATGCCGTGAACCTTACCTGGACCACCTGACCAACCAAATCTCCCAAAAATGGCATCACTATCCCTGGAATCAGGCAGATCTCCATGCATGAACAAGTTCATGGAGCATCGGTAATAATGAATATGTAAATATAGATTTTTACATGCAACTTTATTCCTGTCGGCGCTAAACAATTTTACAACAATTTTATTTTTTCAAGACCTCATATCAAATTTCCACTAAGGTTGAATTCTATTTTTATATTTAGTCTTTACTCTCAAGCTGTAAACGGCACCCAGTCTCCAGCTGAAGGAATAAAACTCGAACTGTCAGGAGCCGGTTATGTTTTGAGTTTCAGTTTCACATTTTTACTGATGCTTTTATTCGCAGCATGTTTTATTCTGCTGGATGAATAAGTTTTAAATGTTCGGCGTGTTAAGCCGTGCCTTATTAAACCCACCGAATGAAGTGCAAACTGCATCACATTGTGACGGGAATGAGAAAGGTATCAAATGGTGATTAAAGATCTATAAATATAAATACGACTGTTATTAAAAGGATCAGATGAATGCTGCAGAAAATTGATAATCTGGTGATTTATAGCACAATCAGTCTTAATTCCAGTGAATCATTTTTTTGTGGAAGTCATGATTTGTAAAACGCCCCTTTCAGTTTGCTCAGACCCTGCCAACATCACCCCTTTCATATGAACCCTTGATCAACTCGTGGGACCGTTTCTCCTGATTGTCAGTGAATCCAGGTGACAGAAAGAGCTCTGGTCTCCTGCAATATATCCAACTTTCCTGTCAACATCATATCATCAATCTCTATCCCTTTATCAGTCCCTACATTTACATGCTGTTTACATCTTTGTACCTGGTGCAGGTGAGTGTGGTTGCATGTTTAGAGAGTCTTCCTGTAAAGGTGCGTCTTCCTGCTCCTCAGGGTCTGTGGTCAGAATCTGCCCGAAACAAAAATCAATGATTTAGGTTTTAAAACTAGATGCTCTGAACAGACTGAGCTCTGGTCAGTCCCAGTACCTGTCTGACAGCAGTGAGGCTGGTCAGGCTGCTGCTGTCTGCGATGACCATGGCTTGCGAGAGCAAACTGGACGGGTGGTACTGGGGCGAATCCGATTTGCTGTACACTGGAACGACAAACAGATGAATGAATCTTTACTCGGGGATGACATGTTGAGCTCTAGTCTTCATGTTACTGCAGTCTTACTGTGACATGGCAGCTGTGCCATGGTTGCCATGAACGGACTGGCAGCCATGTGACTCTGAAGCTGCTGTGGTATTGGCGGCTGAGGAGAGGCGTGAAGCTGCTGCTGGAATGAGATGGGCTGCAAGGTTGTGAAACCGCCTCCCATGTTGTTTATGACAGGCACCGTCTGAGGTTGCGTGGAGGCTAAACCTGTGAAACAGCATTGACGTTGGTCTGAGAATTTTTCCCCTTATTACAAAATGGGAAATAAAGGGAACCAATGTTACCAATGAGAAGGGAGGACTCCCCCAGACTCATGACGCTGGGCACTGAGGCCATGATGAGGCTCTGTGAGGATGCAGGTGAGGCAGACAGACTGTGCAGGGAGGTTAGAGTGCTTACTGGGGGTAGTGGCCCACCGCTGGACACCTGAAACCAGAGGATGGCATGTTTAGGGCAGCTGGTAATTTAGCATATTGAACCACGAGGGATCCGGACACGAGCTCTCACCAGCTTGGGGTTATGGGTCTCGAGGAGTGTGTGGCTTGGTTCCAGTTGGACTGGACTCACCATGAGATGCCCCACTCTCTCCCCTCCGCTGCCTCTGGCTGAGCTCACAGTGTCGCATGGGATGTGCTGGCTGTATTTCACACCTGGGGAAACAACAAGCATCCAGTCAGTCCCAGAACATTTATAAGGTTCGTGGTTTACACACATCACAGCTGACTTTGGTCGATTGCTCCAAGTCTAAATAGAATAAAGGTAAATATGAGCATCCAGCAGCACAACCAGTAGAGTCATGTCTCTAAGCCATTCTGATTTCCCTCTCAAATTTCCATACATGAGGATGGGTTATTACCATGCTCGGGACTGGGTGGAAGGTTGGCGTTGGAGGATGAGGCAGTCTGACTGCCGAAAGGCGTGTCGAGGGCCAGTTTGTGACGAAAAGCCTCCTCTTTCCGACGGTTAGCGAACCAGTTGTACACTCGGACTTCAGTGACCAGGTTAGAGCCGAGGCCAGCAAGCTGGGAGGGAGACACGCCCCTCTGGAGGCATTCTGCCCTGAAAGAGGAAATCAGACTCTCTTTATTACAATCTTTATTACAAGTGTTAATTGTTATAAATCTATAGAAATATATGATCAGATGCCAAGAATTTAGATCAATCACAGCAACCCTATGAAAAACAAGATAAATGAACACAAAATCAAAATCCCGTCTCACCTGTTACATTCCTCCACCAGCCCCTCTCTTTCCTCCTTGCTCGGGTTCTTCTGTCGTTCGTAGGCGTGGAAGAGGATCTGCAGGGATGCTGGACCCCACTTGAACCTGTTCCTCCGTCCTTTCTTGGTGTCCTCCCCTTGGTCCTTCACAGTTGCAAGGCCACGTTTGGCATTGGTAAATTCTACATTTAAAAAGTTAGCATGGTTTTTGTTGTTGTTTTTAAACACCTCACATTTTTCTTTTATTTTTGCACTCTTGGAGCTCCAGCACGGCTTGTGTACTCACGCTGGCTGATCTCGCACTGCTTCTTGACATACCAGGTGTACAGAGAAGCTCTTTTTTGGTTCTTCATGGGCGTGCCTTTGTTGAGGTGCTGGGAGAGGTGAGACTGGTTGAGTCCCGTGGACTCCACCACCTCCCGCTGAGGTAGGTTATGCTGCTGCATGTAGCTTTTTACCATTTTTGCAACATGCCAGGGATCCTCACTGTCAGACAGACAGACACCTGAGCTTAAAAACGGCCCACCTTATAGTTTTGTGCATTTTTATTTAGTGGACTTTTCCTTAACAGATACCAGTATATGTAGAAGTGCTAACCAGGCAGTTTGTCACATCAGTAGGGATGTAAAATATGACCACACAAAGAGAGGTTTGTTGACAAAGAGAGATAAGAGAGAGCACGGGGGAACAAAGTCCAGCCCTTTCAGATCACTGGAATGGAAAACATGTAAAAGATTTATGAAGCCTAATTTAACACTTCCTAATTATCAAGTTGAAAACGTCATTAAAGACACACCAAATTATTTTGAAAGTCTCAAACAGCTTCCAAACATTTTGGTAAAGGTATCGGCAAAAATTAGTTGGGTTTTTTTTTTAACAATCCTATTTAGAGCGAGCTTTTCCCCCACTTTTTTAAACATTTAATGTTTATGACAGAATGTCCAATGTTTATATGTCTGTGTTCCATATTTTCAGGATCAGGCCTTAAAACGGAACGGACAAAAATCACTCATGCGTTGCGCAAACACAGTCTCACATGACTAGCTCTGCTCTATTAATCTTCACCTCAGGCTCTTGGCTTATTTATTAAGAAATGGTCAGGGAATAATGATGAGGGTGGGTAATTAGTAACTAGCAAAGGAGGAACCCTCTTTATATTCGCCCAAGAGCCAGACTGCAGAGAGAGAGTCAGAGAAGCATGGCAAGGAGGGAGGATTTGGTAAAGACATGGGGACAGAGTGTAAGAAGACAATAGGAATAGTGGTGTTAACAGGTAAATGCGTAAAGTATTGCTTCGACTCTCAAGTGTGTGGTTTTGACACACGGGAGGTAACACAAAGACGAGGAGAATCAGAAGCGGTGGCAAGGATGTTGTCAATTTTCAGAATTTATCCGACCGGGTCCTACTGGAAAAGCTGCTGAGTGAGAATAGCAGTTACCGAGACATTAGGATGATTGTCGCTGTTGCCATTAAGCTTCCAGAGAAGTGCCAGGATCTACTTACTGCAGTAGGTGCTCGACTTCAGTCCTCAATTTGGACACCTCCTCTGGAGGGAGCTTCTCCAGTTCTCGGAATATAGGTGGCGGGAAATCCATTTCTCCCTCCTCTGAGCTCTCTCCATCCCCCCTTTCTCCCTTCTCGTTGCCAGCACTTGCCCTGTTTCGTTCCAGTTCCCCCATGGCTTGGATCAGAACCTCCCGGGACAGTCCAGATTCCAGCAGGGCCCAGATCAGCTGCTCCTGCAGGGCCGTCAAACGACTCGGCCCCGCTTTGGCTGCCTCAGCCCTCTCCTCTACCTCCATTAGTCTTATGTCTTACCTCACTACTGCCTCGCAAACAAACTGCTCTCATGTGCACTACCACGCTCAAACGACAGCCACACAGCCAGTGCCAGGCCCCATTATTTTATATCTGCAGTCCCTCTTCAGCTCATGAGAAAGTAAACTTTCATTTTCCTTTGCTGAATCCTCCCGATGTGTCCAGAGCTGTCCGGTTTTAGCTTTTCACTTGTTGTTTTTGCTTTCAAAGGTCAATTTTCTTTTAATCTAACCTTCCTCCTATTCACCCCCTCCTCCTTACGTGCGCCCTGTGAACTTTGTCCCTTCTCCCTCAGTCCTCAGCAGGGACCAAAGTTCATCTTAAAAACAATAAATAAAAATGAGGGGTGTTGCACTGGCAGAGTCCACAGTCTACTTCTCAGAGCAGAAAACTGATAAGACAGTGGGGGGAAAACATGACTTGGAAAGTTGGGAGCTTTTTACGTATAGCTTTTTCTCACACGGAAAGGACATTTTAGAAAAATAGTTTTGGGCTTTTTTCTTTCTTATTTTTCATTCTTATTTTTTCTTATTCCATACATTTTATTTGTTAATGCATATGTAAAATATAAAGAAATAAATAAGTCAATAATACACGGAGGAGCAGGAGATCAGCTAAGCAGGAGCAAAGTTTGATTTGTCTTTTCTGCCAGGAGAGGGCGCTGCTGTGTTATCTTTACATTAGACTTTCAGGAAGTTGCTTCATGTTAGGGGCCTTGGTGGAGTGTTTTCTGTCATGAACATGAGTTCAAGACAAGAAAGGACAAAGAATAAGAAAGGAATAAGTTGGCACATCAGTTTCCTAAAACATTTCCACATTTACTGAGAGAGTGCTTTAAGGTCGACCTCTAACACTGTGCTCCCCCCCCCCCCCCCCTTTTTTTTAAATCAATGTGCACAAGTCAAACACTTTGGACATCATCGACTACTTGTGACTATTTCACAAATTAAACTTTAAAAAAAGGAGCAAGATTTTCTCTTTTTTTTCCCTTGTTTGAAATACATGTGCTTATTTCTAATCTGATTCCAGCAGCACATCCCAGAAAGAGCTAAGAAAAGTGCAACAAGAAATTGGACAAGTGTAATGCAAAAAGCCCCAGACGCCTGTTTTAATATCTTACATTTAATTATGTTAGTTAGCAAAATTTCCAAAGAGCACCCCAGTGATGAATCTTGTAGAAGTAAATATGGGAAGGGGTTTAGACCACATGTATTTTATTCCGTGTTTTAACTATGTAATAATCCAACTTACTTTAAACTCTTCAGTGAAATTGGGAAAAATCTCTGCATTCTTTGTGCATAAGGACAAAGACTGATGTCGAGTGTCTGTGATTAAAATAGACATAATTATGTAGTGAAAAATCACTGCATGGGCTCAGAAACACTTCTGAAAACCACCGCCAGTGAACACAGTCATCATGCATCCACAAATAAAAGTTCAACTCTGCCATGCATCTAAAAACAAGACCCAGAAACACTGCTGCCTTCTCTGGGCCTTACTGCTTTTAAGACAGCCTCAAGTGAAGTGGAAAACCTTCCTGTGGGCTGTGAAATTCAAAACTGAGGAGAGAGACCACCTGGTGTGTTTTCAGCGTGCAGTTCAGTACAGGGAGCGCATGACTGCACATGGCATGAGGTAACCAAGAGCACCTGTGAGGGCACCATTAATGCTGAACGATGTATACAAATCTACAGCTTTTAGAGCATCAACTGCTGCCATCGTGATTATTTTAGCACGACAGTGCAACCCTGCACATCTGCAGGGTGCTGCTAAACCAGGCTGCTTGCATATTTGGCACATTATGAAATGAAACAAAGAAAACGTGCACGTCAGCTGCAAAGCTGAAATTCTATGCAAAGCATGCAAAACATTTTTTTTAAAATACAGCAGTAGGCCTATGCAAATTCTGCATTTTGCATTTCTGATATGAATATAATCTTATTGATTTTTGACTATAGATCTGATTCTTTATTGAGTCCCTTATTAATTCTTGATCAGTTTTCTTTGTGGAAATTATAGATGGACAAAGGCTTGGAAATCACTGCTGAGTTTGACATCTGTGCGTTGATAAAGAAATTTATATGCTTGGAGAAATATGATTCCGGTATACTGGACAACTTGAAAGTGGTTCACCATTCCCATCTCTAATGTTTAAACTTTAAACTGTTCGGCTGTTGAATTCGAATAATATTATTGTTTCCATAGATTTGCCTTCCCCCTGTCTCTCCCGCTCTCTCCCTCTCTTTTTTTTAATCCACCCTCTTGTTTTTTGACAACATAAGTTGGCAGGAAGACTAAGTTGGAACTGAACTGGAAAGGAAAGAGGGCAAACTGAATAGGAGAAAACCTTTGAGAGTTAATGTAGTCTTTTATCTTTCCTCTTTTCTCTTTACACTGTAAAATGCTCACTTTCTCTGCCTGGATCACCTAATACTATTCTCAGGTTCGGCCTATCAGCACCTTTTTGTGTTGAGCTCCTGTTACCCCACCCCACCCTTGGGAAGATGGCATTATACTGTATTTGGAAGGGTAACAGAGCTGCCTCTATCTCCCTGAGACATGCCAGTGACCTGTAATTAAGTCCCATTGTACTATTCAGAGGAAACTCCTCACCAAAACGGACAGAGGGCAGTTGTGTGTGGATTTCCAGCAGCTCAGATACCGCTGTGACTAATACCCCACCACACAAGCTGGGTTTATCAAAAAGGAACACATGCAGCACACATTAGAGCTTGCATTTTCCCTCTCTGGAGAACTCAAAGCTATGTTGATTGGTAATGAGATACAATCCACGCTGTCCATCTCTCATTAGTGAGCCATTGCTCGCTAGCTCTCTCTCTCCCCCTCGGTTTCTGTTTCTGCCTCTGCCTAGCGTTAGCCCCCAACCACCACCAACCCCACCATTCAACCCCATTGATCATGCATGCAGAAATTTAACACACCCCTTAATTCCTGTCCAAATAGCCCCTGTCCCACTTCCAGAGCTTCATCTGTTCATCTGCAGAGGGTAGAGTAGGCCTGTTTGCAGGCAGGACACTGACTGCAGCACTCAATGAGGATAAACTGTGCTGGAGAGGACAATCGCAAACCTAAATCAGTGTCTGTGTAACATAGGATGTGTGCTGGGTTGTGCGCTCTGGGCTCGAAGTGTTTCTATAAGGCATGGAAACACTGTGGAGGCATGATCTGGAGGCTGTGTTTTTACTTGTTTTAAAGCAGTTTGGTAGAAACCAACAGAGACCATGCTAGCAGAAACCACCTAGAAACTTTGCTTCAAACCATAACGATTGCATAGGACCGCATGCATTTATACCTACTGCGAGTCAAAGCTGACATTGTCTTTGTTTGAATTGCTCAGGCTATTGATTGGCCTTAACATTACCAGGTCACATGTTGAGTCAGTGTTGAGAAGATTAGCCAGAGCTGGCTTTGGTACTAATTAAATACTTAAACCCCAGCACTGAATGAGCACACAGCACACAAACCTCCTGTTATACCCCGTTGCATAAGCCAGTTTACAGCCTGGAAGGTGCATCAAAATAGACGAACACATTTTTAACTCTACCTGCAAATAAGGACACTGACACACATCACATTTCCACAGACATATTTGAATCCACAGTTATTAGATGAAGCAAGAACAGGAATACTGTATGGTATTGATTGTATTAATAGCACACAAAGTTAATTTCCTGAAGACAAAAGTATGTACATGTGTTGTGGAACTGATGACATGACTCACAGTGTTCTGGGAGACTTTATTTTAGTCTATCACCTCTCATATCTGATGTTTGGACCTTTTTAGAACCACACTAAACCAGACCGAGAACAGCAGATAAGTTCCTGTGTCTGTAAACTGGAAATTTCGACAAGTCAGTCAAACTTAGCCAGACTGTGACAGGAAGTTGAAACTCTTCCTTCATAATAAAGGGTTAACGCTCACAAAAAAGCAGGAAGACTAAAGGTCTGCAGTCTAAAACACTTGGTTTACTCTGGTTTGACTGTAACATAACATGGTTGGAGTGTGATACTCCTAAATGAGTGTCTTTATTACTTATTCTGTTATTTCCAAAATACACATCTAGTCTCCAACTATGGTGGTAAATAATTCTGATGCATGAAATTACAGTGCAGTGAAAAAGTATTTGCACCCTTCCTGATTTCTTAGCTTTTTGCATATTTGTCACATTTAAATGTTTCAGATCGTCAAACTAATTAGACAAAGATTATACGAGTAAAAACAAAATGCAGTTTTTAAATTATGATTTCATTTATTAAGGGGAAAAGTTATGCAAACCTACACGGGCCTGTTTGAAAAGGTAATTACCCCCTAAACCTAATAACTGGTTGTGCCACCCTTGGCAGCAAGAACTGCAATCAAGCATTTCTGATAACTGACAATGAGTCTTTCACATTGCTGTGGATGAATTTTGGCCCACTCCTCTTTGCAGAATTGTTTCAACTGAACCACATTAGAGGGTTTTCAAACATGAGCCGCATATTTTCTTCACTTTGTTTCTATTGACCCAAAGTTTATTTTGGGTCATTGTCCTGCTCCATAACCCAAATACACTTCAGCGTCAGGGCACGAACTGACAGCCAGATGTTCTTCCTCAGGACTTTCTGGTAGAGAGCAGAATTCATGGTAACGTCAATTAGTGATCCAGGTCCTGAATCAGCAAAGCAGCCTCAGACCATCACACTACCACCCCCATGATTGGCTGCTCCTATGATCTTTTTCTGAAATGCTGTGTAAGTTTTACAACACATGTAACTGGACTAAAACCTTCCAAAAAGTTCACCTTTTGAGTCATCAATTCACAGAATATTTTCTTCATTCAGCAGGTCTGACAATAATAAGAGCCGGGTGTGGCTCGTGAAACTGAACTCGGTAGTTAATCACAGTTAATTTAGCATTTAGTTTTTCACACAGGACCAGGTAGGTTTGGATCACTTTTTTCCTGTAAGAAATGACATCATCATTTAAAAACTGAATTTTCTATTCATTTCATCAAATATTAAAATTTGTTTTATGATCTGAAACATGTAAGTGCAACAAATATGCAAAAAAAGTCATAAAGGGTGGGCGAATACTTTTTCACTACACTGTATTCCAAAATATGAATGTAAGAATTTTTTTAGCACACGCAGTCAGAGTGCAGATTACCTATTACTAAAACACTAATCATGGCTCTGTTAATCAATTTATAGTATTAAAAGGGCAATTTCTTTATTTCCATGGGGCTGTAATTGGCTACCTGGTGACAGAGAAAAATTGCGCTAGTTGGATACAATCAGGGGTTATACGGGTAGGGAATGTGAGTGTAAGCTATTCTTATTAATCACCGACCAGTCCTATTAATAATAATACTTTTAAAAAAAGTAAATAACATTTTGCAATATTAAACTACATGCATACATTTTCCTTTTCTAGCCATGCTGTAATTTTAGCGGCTTTGATATTCTCCTCGAGGCAGCAAGCTTAATTGAGGTGCTTATCTG